ACGTAGCGCTGGGCCATGCCAGCTGCTCTACGCCGACATCGCCGGTCCGCTGGAGGAGACGTCGCTGCGAGGTGCACGCTACGCGCTGACCTTCATCGACGACTGCACGCGCTTCGCCTGGACGTTTCTCATCCGGCACAAGAACGAGGTCGGTGCGGCCCTGGAGCAACTGCGCAAGGACCGTCACATCGTCAACGCCACGCTGCAGACGGATAGCGACGCCGTCTTCAAGAGCCAGGACTTCACCGACCTGTGCCTGGCCTTCGACATCAAGCAGCGCTTCTCGCCACCGCACTCGCAGGCCAAGAACGGATCCGCAGAGCGCACCTTCCGCACCCTCTTCGAGACGGCACGCACAATGCTGTTTGCTGCGGACCTGGACAAGCCGTTCTGGGACTTCGCCGTGCAACACGCCACGCTGCTGCACAACATCGCGCCACGCAGGAGCCTCAAGGACAAGTCACCGTTCGAGGCCCTGACTGGGCACGCCTTCGACGTCAGCCTGCTGCGCGTCTTCGGCTCGCCGGCCTACGTGCATGTGGAGAAGAGCAGCACGCGGCACAAGCTTGACCCACGCTCACGCGTCGGCGTCTACGTCGGCTTCGCCGAGGAGGACCAGGCCCACGTCGTCTGGATGCCGGACACGCGACGCGTTGTCCACACCATCCACGCTCGCTTCGGCGCCATCAAGAACAAGGACGTCGCCTCCTCTCAGCAGCAGCAAGAGCAGGACAACAGCGGTGCCTCTGCTTCGCATGCCAATAAGACCGCTCAGCGTTCGACCGAGGACAGTGCCACCGGCGCTCCCACTGCACCACGTGCGGGGGAGCCGCAGCTCCAGCCACGCGCCCTTGGCGGCTCCGTCTGGGACCAGCTGCTGGTGTCCGAGACCCTCGGCGACAAGGACACCTCTGGTGACTCAACCACCACGTGTCACGTTGCCACCAGCGCTGCTGGTACGGGGGAGAAGACATCAGCAGTGGGTGGTCATCTACCAGACATCGCTGCTGGCAGTGCTGTCACGTCAGCTGAGCCAGCCACCGTCAAGGAGGCGCTTGCCTCGCCAGACTCTGAGGAGTGGCGCCAAGCCATCCTGGACGAGTTTGCGGCAATGCAGGCCAATGACGTCTACGACGTCGTGCCTCGCGCTGACCTTCCCAAGGGCCAGAAGGTGCTCCGCAGCATGGTCATCTTTCGGAAGAAGCGCGATGACCAGGGCAAGGTAATCAAGTACAAGGCGCGCTGGGTTGCCAAGGGCTACTCCCAGGTCCACGGTGTTAACTACACGGACACCTTTGCTCCGACGGCTACCATCGCAGCCATCCGCACCATGCTCGCCATGGCCGTCGCGCGTGGCATGGACATCCAGCAGATGGACGTCAACACGGCCTTCCTCAACGCGCCCGTAGATCACGAGATCTACGTCCAGCCACCGGCCGTCGACGGCATCTTCTCGCCGAATACGGTCCTGCGCCTCAAGCGCGGGCTGTATGGGCTGAAGCAGAGCCCGCGCCTGTGGAACCACACGCTGGACGCCTGGATGCGCGAGCAGGACTTCGTCGCCACAGCCACGGACGCCTGCATCTACCGCCGCACCTGCAAGGGTGGCAAAGTGATGTGGGTTGCCGTCTACGTGGACGACCTGCTCATCTTCGCCGACGGCGACAGCGACATGGCCGCGTTCAAGAAGGCCATCTCCAAGCGCTTCAAGATGAAGGACCTGGGCAGCCCAGACATATGTCTCGGCATCAAGGTGCAGCACGACCGCAAGGCCAATACCGTCACCATGAGCCAGGTGCACTACCTGCGCAACGTGCTGGAGACCTTCGGCATGGCTGACTGCAAGCCTGTCGGCACGCCGCTCTGCACGGGCTACGTCGACAAGCCAGCCGACAAGGAGGAGCCACTCCCGGATGTGCCGTTCCGCGAGCTGCTTGGCTCCCTCCTCTATGCTGCGACGATGACGCGCCCAGACATCTCGGCGGCTGTCTCCATCCTGTCTCGCCGTATGCAGCACTTCGGCATGGACCACTGGAAGGCTGCCAAGCACCTTCTTCGCTACATCAAGGGCACCTTGTCCTACACCATCAAGTACGCCGCCACTGGCGACGCCAGCAACGGAAGCACTGCCGACGGCGTGCTCTCAGCGTACTCGGATGCGTCGTTCGCCTCCGACATTGACACG